AAACGCGGATAAACACTTCGGCTTTCTTGTTTGTTTCGTTTTGAAAGTTTTTCTCCAGGAAAACCCCACAAAAGCGGTAGGTTTCGCTAATTTTATTTATTTAAATCAATTAGTAGGTAAGACGTGATGTTCTCAATGCATGTTGATAAAAATTTAGTATATATTTCCCTCTTAAACGTTGCCAAAGCAGTATTAAATGGCTACGGATACGAAGACGAGAGATTGTCTCACTATTTTATATTCGATTTTAAGTCACTGTTGTACAGATTTTTAGACTTTTTTGTGTTTTATTAAAAGTCAACAGTTATACATAAGACATACTATACTGCAAATCATTTGAAAATTGTAAAAAATCGGTTTCTAGGAAGAAAATAGTCATCACAATTAACTTCATATTCTGGCTGGCTTTAATATTTTCTCTTCAGATGGCACTTCAGCTTTGAACATGTAACACAGATTTGTTTGATTAACATCACTGATTTGGAAATACGACGAGCATCTGCCATAAATATGCTGACTTTTTGCTATGAGAACATCACGTCTCAACCTATTAATTTCAATCAACTAATTGATTTAAATAAATAAAATTAGCGACATCTACCGCTTTTGTGGGCGATTATCAACAACAATCTTCCTAACTGCTTCGTACTGCTGTTCTTTCAACTTTAATAATGTCTTTTCTCCCAATTTTCAAAGGGAAACCAACGCTTCGTGGAGCGCTTGTGTATTTTTATTCATATTTACTATAATAAACCATATATTTCGTTGTGGCCAATCAGAAGCCAGTTTGATATGGATTTGGCCAGAGCCCCTCGTCGTGCTCGGTCGAACGCGCGTAAGAAGGGCTCTGGGTACGAGAATGCAGACGATGCAGATATGGAATTTGTTTCGAATATTAAAGAACTATTTATGAAACAAAATAAGAAGTTATGAATATTCTGATCTTTTAAACATAATTATAATACATGAGTAAGTACAATACCATTTCTAACTTTCTATTTAACAACACTACACCTGTCCTATTGCCCGTGGTCGTAGTGTTCTTTATAAAACTAATCTGCCTTTTAAAATGGCTTTATCGATAAACTTTGAGTTTGCAATAAAATGATTTCAAATTCTCGCTTGCAAATAGTGTAACTTTGCCTTCTTTTTATTTAAAAAATTCAATATCATAAAAAAGGGAAGCAATATTAAAGATACACTGAAATTATATGTTGTCTTGTTTAGTTGTTTCATATACGCAAAGGCCGTCGGATTTTAAAGCAATTATAAAATCAATATTTAAAACAAACTTACCTTCGTTAACGTCGCCTCCCCTCTTTTAGCCGATTCTTTCGCCCTTTCGTTCTGAGAAAGCTTTTGAAATTTACAAAATCTTGCGAAAATGCGAGCAAAAATGAAATATATTTTCAAGAAATTTATCAATCATCAAATCAAGAAATGTTTGCTATTTCGCTGTCGTCATGCAGTCGTTATAATGCAAACTTTAAATTGGACCAATCAGTTTTCGCTATTCATGACAGTCCGCCACATATTTTGAGATCCGTGAGGATGACCACCCACCGAAACATCGTTGGTGAGCCACGCCCGCGATATTTGATGAACTTTAGACTTTGCTAATGCTTTCGTTTCCCAGGGTGTAAATAGCCGGGGGGAATTAGTACCCTCGCACGCACCATCGGCTCGGGGATTAGTTTTGTCATTTTTTACATCTTACACTGGTTTGCAATAGATTTGGTTATAGTCTATGATTTGGCTTTGTAGAATTTACCCGCATGTTGTGCAGTTTGAATTGCCACACTTTCTTATTTCAAAATAATAATGCCCTTCAGTGCAGCAGTGGGAAAGAAATGCCTTTAACTCTTTAAGGTTTTGCACATCCTTTTTAGTTGTATGTCCAAGCTGTAAAAATACAAATTAAAGCAAAGATGTTAATTAGAAGTCGGCAGGCTTTAAATGAACGAACGTACTAGCAAACTCTACAATTTACTGAAGGTATACATTAAAAACAGTGTGAGCACATACTAGAGGGAACTAAAATTGAATTGATTAATGGTTGACCATTTTTCTAGAGTTAGTACAGTAGTTAATAAATTAACCTAGAGAATAAAAATGTGTGCAGTACTTTCAAACTCTTGTCAACATCCAGACAAAGTTTCCATAAAGCGTCGATTTTTTCATCTTCTGCTGGGTCAAAGACTTGGAATGATTTGTCTTTTAAACTAAGACGAACCATCTGGCTCTTAATCAAATCGACAGGAAACTGGAGTGACTCAGAAAGCTGTTTCTTCAGTTCAGGAGTGTTGACCTTGTCCCTCATCTCTTTAACACTACCAGCATTTGCTTAATAATATAATATATAAAAGTAAAATGGGAATTGTGACCATGAGAAACACATCCTTTCATATTCAACAACTTTTACTTTAGTACATTACTGTGGGAGAAATTGACCAGAAATTGACTATTGGTTAAATTACCCACAAGGAATGGTAAAAAGCTCAGAAGGTTAAACTAGTTTGAAAAAGGTGTTATCAGAACAGTACTGTACAGTGCTTTTAGTGGATATTACCCACAAGTTTGAATATACAGTAAATATGTTTAAAAAAACTTGTACCAATAGCTTTCTCAAATTCATCACTCATTTTCCTTCTCATTACTCCAATTCCCTGTAGTCCTATGTTAACGATGCTCATCACACGTTCAACAGGATTGGCCCAGTCATTACTTGGTGCAGTTCTGAGTGATATCAGGAAATCCAACTTAAGATGTCGAAACAGCTAGGGCAATTAGTGCTAGCTTAACCGACATATAGTTGTTGCGATGGTCTGGCCCACCATCAGTACATATCAGTAGACCAGGTTTGATTTCTACAAGAAAAGAGAATTAAATAGCATTAAAGACCAAGTTTTGAGTGACATTGGACCAGACTTCTAAATCTGTGTATAAAAATACATCAGTCAAGTGTAATTCTGATTTCCAAACTTTCCCCAATCATAGGTTCTAGTTAATATTTTTGAAAACAATTGATACACATATTACCTTCCCCCAATGCCAAAATCCCTGCTAACTCGGCAGAATGCCGGAGCGCTGATGATGGCTGCATAATAGAATCCTTAATTCCAACGAAGACATTTCCTCGATAAAAACTCCCATTAATGTCTGGTGGTATGTCAATCTGTAAACAGTAGATACAGGTAAGGATAGTGAGATAAGAGCCAGGTATTTAGAAATATATAAATACCCGGCGGGGCCCCAGCGGTTGCGTTACGCCACTGATCAGGTCACTTTCACTGTCAGTCTCGTTTATCCTCCAGACAAAATGAAGGTTTGGCTTGGGGCCGCCAGTGTTGTAGACATAATAAACACACTTTGAAGATAATCCTCCTTCTTGCAATACCTGTGTCAAGGTGTACACTTTTTTGCAATTTAGACCAACTGGAAGTTCTTCTCTGATGCAAATTGGAGTTAATACATCAGTGTTTAAGGGTATTATCAAGTTTTTGTAGTGTATATAGTTTTACTCCCTTGTTAGCCTGAAGAACCACTACATTAGCTTTCTCTTCGAAATTTGAACGAGGAGTGCTTTGTACCACTTTTACCAGTTTGCACTTCCTTTGCAAGTAGATAGCATATTAATCAATGCTATTTAGCAGTTGGAACAATAGGAAACTTATGTTCTTCCAAGAATCATTCTGAATAAAGTGCATGCTTTGCATGACCTCCTTTACTTGGATACCCAGCTTTTCAAGCTTGCTAGCTGTGATATTGACACTGCGTCTCTTACAGTGCCTATGTAACTGTGGCATGTTAAAACCACTAAATTTCTTGCTGAACACTTCAGGAATTCGACTTTTCTTGCTTACAGCCTCATTGATTTTGGTGCGATGGCCATCAATATACCAAAGGAGTGATGTTAAATGTTTGACAAATGTTTTTCAACGATTTTCAATGTTCCCAGGAAAATTACACTTATTCTCTGTCAAATATGTTAAAATTGTGTTATGCAGTTTGTCCATGTTTGTAGATTCAGGAATCTCTGCGGGAATGTCATCTGAGGCAGCATTCCGTGCATTTTGCATTAATACTTGAAAGGCATTGGGTTTTGGCTGTGAACTGGAAGGCAAGTTGCACCCACAATCTCCTTTATGCTGAGCAACATGAATTGTAAAGAACTGCATTCCAAATGATTTGAAAATTTCCAAAACAAGAGTATCAAGATCACACCAAATTTCTTCATTTAATGAAAATGTTGATGACGAAGATACAAATTCTATATCCACTGCCTTACAAATACCATCTGCTTTATTTGTAACTTTCTTGTATAATTCAACAAGACCTAATGTGTGGTAATTTTTCAAGTCAAGAAAAAACCATTTGAGCAAAATTGTGGTTTCATCAACAACCCTTACACTTATTGACGTCATCAAAAATCTTGACCAAACATGCCTATAAAAAAGCAGGGCAGTACTGTATTTAATAGACACATTTTCAGTGTTCAAAACAAAAAGCCATAAACAAAAATGTCAATTGAATCATATAGGTACTCTCGATTGTACTATATGTTTAATAAATATATAAATCAGTATTATATATCAACAAAATAATACTTTTTACAAGTGCACATTATTATTTTATATAAAAAAAGTATCTGGCTACATGATCAATCCATCAAATAGCATATTCAAAAACAGCCATCCAACGAATTAATCCTTGTTATTATGATGAGCAGTTTCCAACAAAGAACTTAAGCATCCAAGTTCATAAATATTTAATGAATTATATAAATAAACTTACCTTTTATATACAAAGTGCAATTTAAGCAAAAAATCCGCTTCGTTTGTATTACTTTTACCATATTTCAAAAACTCATTAATAAATTAGTCACATGCATACGTCTTTATACTAGCTAAAGAACACTTTAACAAAAGACCATTGTTATGCAAACTATATAAAGATTTTGATATAAAGATTTTTATATAAAGATTTTTATATACAGATTTGACTTATTATGCAAATGTGCGCGCTCGTGGCTTTAAACCTAATAAAACACTCCTGCTCGTTTTTTAAATAGTACATCAAATCTCATGTGCTTCGCAATGCAGGCGGCTTGTGACCCTTTCAAGCAATATGATTGGTCTAAATGGAACATACTTCATGTACGCTTTATATTAATTTGCCACGGTTCAGGGGGGTACGAGGGCTTCTAATGGAATTTCTGGGCGAAATAATTTTTTGAAATATTGTCACAAAAATCCAAGAAGATCAATAAAAAAATGAAAAAATCACGAAATAATGAAAAATTTCACGCGGGTGACGGTAAACTGATACCTCACTTCCATTGGCCTAAGGTATAAAGACAATGACAATGTTTTTAAATATTGGTCTCTGCTATATTAAAATACATTGTCAATGTTGAATAAGTACCAGGGGCGGATTTTCTGGGGGTGCAGGGGGGTGCACACCCCTCAAAATTTTCTAGCACCCCCAGAAAAATTCGAAAATGGTGTGTGTGCGGTAGGTTATTATTATTATAGCAGTTTATTTAATTAAAAGCGAGAAAGCGCACAAAACAAATATTCCCGAGTCCCGACAATAGTAACTTAATTCGTATAGGTTTCTAGATGCTTATTGGTCGGCTTGCCCAGGGATAATGTAGAATTACCGGAAAAGTGGGTAGGGGATAATGTTCCCATAACGGAGAAAGTTTCCAGTCATATTTTTACCATTATTCGTGGTTAATAATAAAAGTTTCTTGTTGCGATTTATTTGCTTTTATATATAAATATAAATATGGATTTACTATGAAATGAACCTGGAAAGGTTTAAAAATCTACTAATGGAAAATTGGGAACCAGATTAATTTCTATGATATACAGTCTATGCACTTCATTGCTCGTTGGAAGTTTGCCATGTGTTCGGACCTTGTCATAACCCTACGATAAGGTGATTACAATCGATTATATATTTGTTTTATAATCCCATATAGTGACATCTACAGCACAAAATCAATGTTTGTGGACTGTGGTTTTTGTTGTACCTAGCCAATTACTTTGGCAAGATAAGATATTGATAGTATTGATTGGGTTTACTGTACGCAGGCACAATGTAAATATGAGCTCTATATATAAAACAATATCGAGTTTCTGGCTGGTTATCTAGATGGGATACATTTTAAACTCAAGGGCATAATAGGGGGGGACCATGTTCATGTTCACAGAGCGTTAGAACAATCGCTTTCAAAAGAAATGAATGATGCAGAATACGAATATATGAATATCACCCACCCCCCATATCAACTAAAGGTACTATCGATTCGATTCATGAGCACCTTTCATGAGTGACATAGTGAATGCTACTCGAGTGCATGGGGATGTATATATTTAAATCTGGATCATAGGGACTCGGGATCTGAAATCTGGGCACATCCAAATTGTTTATTTTGAGCCTAACGTCCTATGACTGCATAACTATGTCCAGAATCAATCCACTATCAAAATTGTTATCTTTCCAATTCATGCTATATACTATATAGTAACCAAATACTGCACTAGTGTAACAGACAGATAGTACAAGTATTTTACAGTTGCTGTTACCATTCAACGGTCGCTTATAATGAATGTCAAAATGTTTTTTGTCCATGATCAACTAATTTAACTCATGGTACAATTACTTGAGAGTAAATTTAGGTCACTTTGAGAACAATATAATATAAAGTGTCTAATAAATCAAATATCATGGTACTGTACAATATCAATTTCCCTAATACAATAGTTGGTAAGGGGCGGTGTTGACACTTGACATCAGATTGAGAAAAAAAAAACTCTGACAACAATTTGGGCATGTACACTTGTGGGTGCCACTAAGACAGCAATGCACACAGGCCATGCACCTCCATAGCCAGTGCACCTTTCTTGTTTTTACCCTTTATGCCGGACTATTTTACTCCTGGTGGAAGGACACTTGTTGACAGTTTTAGCTAGATGATTTTGATTCCTCTCTAGTGATAATTTCACTGCCGTTTGTTGAAAACAAGCAATACAGTATATACATTTGTGAATTTTGACCTACTTCAGAATTAATTGGGTCATGTGTCAGTAGTAGCACTTGCAGTGTAGTACGTATATATATTAAGTGAATATAAAATTTTTGTCAAATAATGTGCCGGCTCATGTTCAACAAACAATTGAATCTACACAATAATTGTGAATGTATTTTGATAAGTTTATGTTTCAACAAATGAAAATTGATTTAACTCATTAAGCTGCAGAGCTTCCCCATTGACGAGTAAAATTGCTTGGCGTTGAACAAGTAAAAAAAAAGTAGGGTGCACTGGGGCATATTGCCACTCAATGGGCTAACTGGAGATATTGTCATATTTTTTGGTTAACCCTTTAACTCAATTCGATCCGCCAGTATTAATTTCCGACGTATATGACGGGAAGATTAAATATTAAAGAACTTCGCGAGTATTTGCAGTAGACATACGAAAATACCACCAAAAAATTCCGCTTGATCCATACTATATATTCAGAAATATTCATATAATTTTATTGTTTCTCGCTCAATTTCAAGCGAATTTCTTACCTTGAAATGATCAATGCGGTGAAATTTATGCAAATGACACATTATCAATTTTGCTGTTGCATTTTGAATGTTCCGCCTGATTCAAATGCTCGTCTTTTCACTTCTTTTCAACGTATAATAATAACAAATATACCAAAAGAATCGCCATCTTC